AATGGGGCCTAGGCACCACTGATTTCGGCATACTGGTTAATCTGTCAGTTAAGATGCTTGCACTCCATGTCAGAGTGCCTGGGTTCAAGTCCCAGTTCCACTGGGGGTTCCAGTTTCCTGCTAATGCAAACCCTGGGAGACAACAGGCAATAAAGTAGTTCAGCTCCTGTCACCATGTGAGAACCCAGGCTCTGACTTGGCTCAGCTGTTGCAAGCCCATCTGAGGAGTGAACCAGAGGGTGGGAGTTCTCCCCAATCTCTGTCTCTCTATCTCTCAAATAATTATGTAAATAAATGTTTAAAAACTAAAAAGTTCCCCGGATGATGTGAAATTTAAGAATCTGTACATTTTGGTGTTTTAGCAGAAGAAGGAGAACAGAACCAACTGGGCAACTATCCCAAACAAACAATGACCGCAACAAATATCGGTGAATGGAGCCAACGGACATTGGGCGGGTGACATCATCCTCAGATCAGTGAAATCGGCAGCATTTCAGAACTATCCAAGCCACTTGGTCAGAATCCTTGGAATATGCACACACTGAGACTCTGGGTTGATAGGAGGTGGCGGTTCCTCCTCCCTGGGTACTGGGACGTGTGGAAAGTTGTGAGTGGTTCCCCTTTTGTCTCCCCCATCCCCTAGGAACAAAAGAAGAAATAGCAAATTTGGAAGCAATGAGTTTACCCAATTTTCCCTAAACCTCGATTCTTTCCACCCTGATCAATCATGTAATCATTATTTAAAAAAATAAAATTTAGGGCCCGGCGCGATGGCGCAGTGGTTAAGTCCTCGCCTTGCACGCCCGGGATCCCATATGAGCACCACTTCCCATCCAGCTCCCTGCCTGTGGCCCGGGAAAGCAGTAGAGGACGGCCCAAGGCTTTGGGACCCTGCACCTGCGTGGGAGACCCGGAAGAGGCTCCTGGGGACCCTGCACCCGTGTGGGAGACCTGGAAAGAAATTCCTGGATCCTGGCTTCGGATCGGCATAGCATCAGCCGTTGCACTCACTTGGGGAATGAATCATCGGACGGAAGATCTTCCTCTCTGACTCTCCTCTCTGTATATCCGCCTTTCCAATAAAAATAAAATAAATCTTTAAAAAAATAAATAAATAAAATTTAAAATCATTTTTCAATAGCACCCCCTCTCCCAGAAAGAAGTCTTAAAAGCACACACTCTATTAAGGCACACCTGTGTGGATATTTATTGAGTATACAAAATTATAATTTCTGTATGAATAGATTCATGTTATTAATAGATGCTGAGTTTTGAACTTGCTTGATTGAAAACTTGAAAAATAAAACTGGTTTGTTAAAAATTAAAATAGAATCCATGAATATAAAAGGCATTCTGACAGTTCATGAGAAATGCATATTGTGAAAAACTATGCATGGATTTCAAATTTTTGGTGTGCCAAAAGAAATTCTTTCAATTCCATTTTTCCATGAACTTCATGAAGTCCTCTCATACTCAAACAAGACCCACCGGGATTAAATACTTTTGGCCTCTGGATGTTCAGTTTGGCACCAAGTATTCATGGTCACTGAGTGGGCCTTTTCCTAAACAGGGCAGTTTCCGTCATCATGAGTGGGCGAGGTTGACGTGTGATGCTCACCAAAAGCACTGAAATCTTGCAGAGAACTCAGTAGTGACAATGACATTTCACAGCTTTCCCAGCAAGACAGCTGCTGACCCGGGAAGGGGTGGACTTATTCCCCGTCAAAGGCAGTAAAGAGTAGCTCCGTGCCACACACATGCAGAGACCACACTCTCCCAAGGGAAGCTCCAGAGCCTCCTACAACTGGGCTAAAACCTCAGCACCATAGGTGTAAGACAGCAGGTTCTTATCACTGATGTCTAGTGCTCTTGGCTGCACAAAAATGATGATGAGCTGTCAGGGCAGAACTGTAGGAGTTCATTCCCCAGCGACGGGTGGGCCTCAGCATCTGCTTTACAAATGAACTGGGTTAGGGCCATCCTTCTATCCAAATCAGGAACTTGGCAGCCAGCCCAAAATAACTGAGTTCCTCAAAGTGGGATCCACTGGCATATTCCCAAACATCCACAAGAGTTCCCCAATTAATAGAGCTAAGCATTACTGAAATGTAAGAAGCCCTTCCGATTGGATTAACAGAAAGAGGCAACATTCTTCAGGATGTTACTGCAGAAATGATGGGCCAACTCTCTCCTCTTTACTATAAATAAACTAAGACAAGGGGCCTGGGCTGTGGTGCAGTGAGTTAAGACACTGGCTGCAATCCCATATTTGTGTCAATTCTAATCAGCTTATCCACTCCCAATCCAGCTCCTTGCCAGTGCTCCTGGGAAAGCAGCAGGTGAGAACCCTAGTGCTTAGGCCCCTGCCATCCACAAGGAGATGCAGATGAAGCTTCTGACCAGCACTCATCCTGGGCCACCCTAGTCACTGCAGCCATTTGGGTGAGTAAACCAGCAAATAGTAGATCTCTCTCTCTCTCTTCTCTCCTTTTCTCCTTCTCTCTCTCTCTCTCTCAATCTCTCTCTCTGATTTTCAAATAAAAAGTTAAATCTTAAAAAAGACAAGTTACTGGCTCACAACCTCAGACAGCCCATGTCAGAACTGCACAATTTGAACACTTAAGGAGCAAAGCAATGGATGGAGGCATCTGCTGCATCTGTCTCTCACTACCTCTTATGTAAGTAGTAGTTTGGGAATTAAAAGTAAATGAGAAATTTTAAAAAGAGCAAATAGCATAGACCGGAAGCAGTTTAATAGATTCTGGTAAAAGAACTTATCACACCATCATCTTTCTGGCATCATCCCTCAACTGACTCTTGAGTATGCAAACTCTCAGGTATTTTTCTCTTTCCACGAAAAAAGACAGAGTTAGGAAGGAAAAGATTGTGCCTTATACCCTTGTCCCTGTGATCACACAGACACTGAGGGCTGGTCCACCTCGGTTGCAAATTTGACCCTGACATTTATTTGTACATGACCTTGAAATGTTAATTAAGTCCGTGGATTTTTTCTTCACCTACACAATGAGAAGAAGTCTGGCATAGAGAATACCTGATTGCATTTAACACAATGCCTAGCAGACAGTAAATAAGGAGCATCCGTGATCATTAACTACTCACCTTCTTTCCAAACACTTCCTTGACAAGAGGCTTACCCCCCCACACACACGCATACACACAGAAATACATACGCACACATACACAGTCCTTTGTAGTTCTCATACCCTTAGTCTGCACTCTGATTTTCATCATTATATCACAATCTGAGCATATTTTACACAAAATACTTGGGACTAGAAGTGCTTGAGATTTTAGGTGTTTTTTTTAAAATTTTGGAATATTTTCATGTATCTAACAAAATATCTTGAGGAGACAACCCACAGCCAAACACAAAATGCATCTATTCTTCATATAAGCTTAATTATTTGGCTGAAGGTAATGTTAGACAATATTCTTTTATAATCTTCTACATGAAACAGAGCTTCCTGGTATGAAATTATCCACTTGGGGTGTTACGTCAGTGCCCAAGAAGTTTCAGTTTTGCAGCATATGGAATTTTGGTTTTCATACTACTGATGTTCAACCTCTATATCTCCATTTCTTATTTGCAGATCTGCATCGATTTCCCTTAAAGAGAGAGATGATGCCTTTAGATTTTCAATGATTAGCACATGGCTGGTGCACCAAACATATTTCTGAGTGAGTGAATGAATGAACAAAGCAACTTCTGCACCCACCTAAGAACAAGAAAAGAAGGGGGAGGCTGTTTTTGTCCTAGTCATTAATACGTCTGCATCTCATATTGGAGTGTCTGGGCACAATATCTGCCTTGATTCCTGATTCCAGCTTTGCTTCCATGTAATGTTGACTGTGGAAGGCGGAAGCAAAGCATTAGGTCACTGTCAACTACACACAAGACCTGGATTGAGTTTCAGGCTCCTGCCCTCAGCTCCAGGCAGGAATTGCTGTAGGCATTTAGGAAGTGAACCAATGGAAGGGAGTGTCTTTCTAGGGTGTCTCTCTCTCTCTCTCATTCTCGCTCTTCTCTCTCTTGTTCTTGCTCTTTCTGTCATAAGAAGGAAAGAAGGGAGGAAGGAGAATTTTACTATGAAAATGATAAAAAAAAAAAAAAGTTTAAAAAGATGGTAAGAATAGAAAGGAAAAGACATGAGTGAGAAACTATATACCAGGAAATTGATTATGGTTGATGATGGGATAGAAGTTCTGCAATTGTCTATTTATAGTGAATCACAGATGCAGTACATTCAGAAAACTCTGAGGATCTTACAGAACAGAGGGAAGAGCAATGCTCACATCATAATTACCTAGATGTCTGCTGGTTGTTCAGGTTGTTTTGGTCCCCTAAAATCAGTCCCATCTATAAGCATGGTACTCCTAGATGCTAGACAAGGGAGGATGGAGTGCCAACAAAACATGAGCCAAATCAGGAATCTTACTTCCCTCTTTAAATTCACTGCTCTGTCTAGTTTATTATCTCCTGCAGATGCTTTCCCCCTCCACCTACCATACACTAGCTTCCCTACTGTGGCCATCTTTCAACCATCACTTAACTCCACATCCTCACACTGGATCCAGCACCTAGGAAATCTGTTCAACCAGAAAGAGTCTTGACCACTTCCACCATTCCAGAAGACAACTGGAAAAACAAAACTCGAGTCTGTGAGCTAATCCTCCTACTTCAAACCAGGGCTGTAGTAAACCTGAAAATCCTTCTAGAAAGGCTGCGATAATTTCCACACGTACAGTCTGAGAAAGCTGACCCAACAAGACCTATGGTAAGAGATCACCACATGCTTAACTTCCATCCCCAAGCCATCCTTTACAGCGATGAGGGTTAGTAACTGGAAAAGTAGGCCTGCAGAAGCCGTGGGCTTTTATCTTTAGACTTCAGCAGCTATTCATCAGCATCAATATTTTAGAACTTAATCAACTGAGCTCTACTCTGAGTCTGGAACAGCGACATTATCATGACAACTCACCGCATCCTGACAGCTGAGGACCTCTAAGATGCTGTTGAGCAACTCCACGCAGCACTTCTTCTCTGGGACTTGGTGCTGTGCCTCATCCTTCTGCTCCAGCAACTTCTTCAGCTCCTTGGTGATGACGGGCAGTAGAATGTCCCGGCATTCTACAAGGAAGGTAGTTCACAGGAATGTGGATTTCTGTAGTTTTTATGTATGTGCATAGACACAGATCTATATTTACCATGTATAAATTTTCTATTAAATAAGTAATTCATGAATACATTCTTCTTAACCCCCCCCCCCCAAATCCTAAATATTAGATATGGCATAGTGATGAACAAGCTACCTGAGATGACTGCATTCCATATTGAAATGTCTGAGTTCAAGTCTTAGCTCTGGACTTCACTGCAGCTTCGTAGTTTCTTACTAATGTGCCCTGGGAGGCAGAAGGTATTAGCTCAAGCGGTTGAGCCCCAGCTACCAACATGGGAGACTTGAACTGAGTTCCTGCATCCCAGCTCAGCCCGCCTCATCTGGGCCACTGTGAGGATTTATAGAAATGTGTACTCTGAAGCAATAGATAGAAAGTCTCTCTCTCTCTCTCTCTCTCTCTCTCTCTCTCTCTCTTTTCCTCTCCTTCTCCCTCTCTTCCTCTCTCTCTCCCTCTCTCCTTTCCCTCTCTTCCTGTCTCTCATTCTTTTGATTTCGCTTTTCATTTAGATTATAAAATATTACAGCTAAAAGTTTCCAAGATCTTTTCATGCAACTCCACACACTTATATTTCAGTATGAAACACAGAATCATATTATTTTTTACTTTTTTAAATTCTTATTTTCTATTATATAGTTTTGTAAGTATAAGGCTATCCCCATGTCTTCCATTTACTTATTTTTATAAAAGGGGTGCTCAGCATCTTTATTTTTTTTCACTCATAAGCATTTCTTAGAGTTCTTACTATGTTATGACATATGGGAAAAGCTTAATTTTTTTAACTGTTCTGAAGTGTTCTCCATTACATGTACTTGCTTATTTAGCCATTTCCTTTTTGATCAACATAATCCACTGGTACAAATAGCACAAAAGTTAATAATTTTCCACATTCATACTCATGTACATTGCATTCATCTTAAATAAATTAAGTCGCTGGCAGATAATGGTGTCTCTGTTGGTATTGCTGTATTGGGTAATTTCCAGAAAGTTCTGAAGCCCTACACAAGTTTCAGCACTATACTCCCCTTCAAAATAGAAGACTTGGGGCTGGGACTATGGTGCAGCAAGTTAAGCCTATAACCATGTGAGAGACCCAGATAAAACTCCTGACTTCTAACTTCAGATCAGCTCAGTTTCCCATTTGGGGAGTGAACCAACGAATGAAAAAGGTTTCCTTCTCTCTCTAAATCTTTCTTTCCAATACAACTAAATAAATCTTAAAAAAAAAAAAAGGAGCAATGTGGAATCTACAATAGAATACAAGTAGAGAGAGGTAGAAGTCACTTTTCTTTCTACATCCTTTTTGGCACAGCTCCCTCACTGCAGTCCAAGAAGGCAAGCTGCTATGGGCTGTAGCCCTAGGGGAACTGTCACGAGTTTCCCTGTTCCCTTGTAGACAGGTGCTAGGCACCTGACCCCAATTAGGATGGTCTCTCAAAACCAAATCATGAAGAAAGGCACAAGGTTCCTGACAATAACAGCTGCCATGACTAACATACGTCAAGTGATGAAAATGTGTGAGGCACAGTCTTAACTATCTGATGTAAGTTCAGTTCATCTACCCAGGGACTCCTGGAGGAAATTCTATTATCTCCTTATTTTGCTGATGAGAAAACAGGGTCTTGATACATGTACAGATGTGTGCACAGATTCAGTAAGGGGTGACTCCAAAGTGGGTCAGAGATGTACTCTCAATCACTGTATGGGGAATAGATTCTTCTGGAGCCTGGTCATCCTCACAGAAAGACCCTGGGCAGGCTGCCTACATATGCCCACACTTCACCTCCCAGCACCATCCTAGTCTCTGCTCACTGATCACAGATTTCCCAGGATTTCCTCTGAGTCTGGGAATCATTGCCTGTATTCCAAAGATAATCTTTTTTCTTGCTCAAGTTAGCCAAATGGTGTTCTGTGTGAGCAACTAAAGCATCCCAACTGGTAGAGTTACAAAGTGCTGGCAGAGAGAAATGGGCTTTGGTTGGAAGGCTCGTGGAAGATTTTACACACTCTAACAGAATGGTGTGAGTCTCAGTTTGTAATTAATGTAACTGGTCCTTTCTGAGTGGACCACAGTGTAAGTTCCACCACAGCTAGACTATCATTCAAGTACCTGACTCAGGACTTGGGTCACAGGAGAGTCAGCAAAGCTTGGTGGGTTGAATGAGAGAGATGGCAGTGGAGATAGCCCCTGAAGCATGGTCAGTGTTGCCAGATAAAGAGTAAGTAAGAGTTCAGAGAACAGTGGATTACTTAGAATTTATAGATCCAGGGTTACTGCAATATTTTCTTAGAGGGAGAAAAATGAGAGTTAAGATGTCCAAGAAAAGCTCTTAAGTGCATGGTAGATGTTCTGTCTATGAAAACAAAACATAAACAGCAAAACTTTTCATTTAACTCTGCTTAAAATCATAAATAAAATCATAGGCTACAGGTTTAATGGTACCTTGCTTTTATTCACCTGGTTTATTCACCAGGTTTAATGATACCTTATTTTATCCCATGAAATTTAAGTAGCAACAACGCAGACAGGAGAAATTTGTACTTTAAGGAATCACTGCCCTGTTGATTTTGGAAAGTACAAGAAGACACTGGGTTTGCCGTGAGCCTGTGTTTAGACTGATAGGAAGTTGGATGGCAGGCTATTTATAGACAGATGTCCCTGTCATTTAGATTGAATACAGTCTTTGTCCATAACTTATCATCACAATGTTGACTTACTGCTCAGATTTAATTTTTTTAAAAAAAAGATGTATTTATTTTTATTGGAAAGTTAGATATACAGAGAGAAAAAGAGACAGAGAGGAAAATCTTCCATCTGGCGATTCGCTCCCCTAGTGAACAATGGCCAGAGCTGAGCAGATCTAAAGCCAGGAGCCAGGAGTTTCTTCCAGGTCTCCCACATGGGTGCAGGGTACCAAATCTTTGGGCTGTCTCTGACTGTTTCCCCAGGGAAACAAGCAGGGAGCTGGAAGAGAAGCAGGGCCCCTGGGATTAGAACCAGTGCTTGCAAGATGTGGACTTTGGCTGCTAGGCTACCGCACAAGGTCAGATTTAATTTTCAAAGGGGGTAAGGATGTTTCCCACAGTGAGCCCAGTGTGATGGCTCAATGGGTAAATCCTCACATTGCAAATGCTGGGATCCCGTACCACCGGTTCATGACCCAGTTGCTCCACTGCCTATTAGTTTCCCTGCTTGTGGCTGGGAAAGCAGTGGAGGACGGTCCTATGCCTTGGGATTCTGCACTCATGTGGGAGACATAGAAAAGCTCCTGGCTTTGGGTCAGTTCAGCTCTGGTAATTGCAGCCACTTGGAGAGTGAACCAGCTGATAGAAGACATTTCTTCTCTCTGTAAATCTCTTTCCAATAAAAAATAAATTGAAAAAGAAGTTGTTTTGCACAAGTTTCACTACAAAATGTTTTTTTTTTAAGATTTATCTATCTATCTACCTACCTACCTATCTATCTGAAAGGCAAAGCAACACAGAATCAGAGAGAGAGAGAGAAAGGGAGGGAGGGAGGGAAGGAGGGAGGGAGGGAAGGAGAAAAGAAGGGAGAGAGGGAGGAAGGGGGAGAGATATCTTCCATCCACTGATTCACTTCCCAGATGGCCCCAAAGCCAGGCCAGGTCTGAGCAAAGCCTAAGGTAAGAGACAAGAATTCTATCTAGGTCTTCCACATGGGTAGCAGAGGCCCAAATACTCGGGCCATCTTCTGCCTTCCCAGGTATCAGCAAGAAGCTGGATCACAAGCATAGGAGTTGGACTTGAACCTGAATTCCAACACAGGATGTTAGTATCACAAGTAACAGCTTAACATGCTAAGCAAGAACACAAACCCCAAAAAGTGTGTTTTAAGAACTGTCTTTCAAAGGATATTGACTTTTAAACTTTTCACTTGCTAGAGAAATGACACATTAGAATGTGTGTCACAGAGTGGGAAATATCATTTGAAGGGGATAAACGCTTTGTTCCTACAAACTGCAAGCCTCACCAACCTCATGACTTTTGCCTACCCAATTATGCACTCATTAATATTGTCATGATAAGTTCAGCTCAGAGATAAGAGCTGTGAATTATCTGATTATGTTAGATAAGGATTAGAAAGTCTATTTGGAAAGTACATTTTGCAACTAAAATAAATAGAAGATTAAAAAAAGAGAGTGATCTAAGATACAGTAAATCTTGTTGTCTTGCAAAAGAGAGTCACCAAAAGCTGTGCTCTAAGGAGATTTGAGTCACTGCATTGTATAGTGTAGCTTGGACGAGGAAAAGGCCTCAAAGCAGTGATCCTTGAAGATGCCCTGGAAATAAACTGAGGTGATGATAATGATGTCTGAACTGCTGGGGTCCCCTCCCCTAAATTCCTCCGTTGAACACAACTGATGTGTCTTTTGTTGGATCTAAAGAATTGATAAGGCCTTTAAGGAGAGTGCAAAGAAACAAATCAAGAATGGTAACTAACCTGAGTCCAAAGTGTAAGAAGACAATTTTTTTTCAATTTCTTTTCTTTTTTCTAAATACATGTTTATTTTGTGTTTTGAATTGTAAGGTACAATTTTGTATAGGCTGGGATTCCCCCCAAACTCCCACTCCCCGTCAGATTTTTCCCATTTTGTGACAATAGTGTAGTCCTTCATAAGGAATCATAATTCTATCAACAAGAGACTGATAGAAGACAACTTTTAAGCACTAAAGCAGCCTTTTGGGATTCAAAACTAGAAGCCATCTAAATGTTCTCCATCTGTGAACTGAGGTCACAAGAACTTCCTGAAAGGAGGTCTGTAAAAGAAGCGAACCGATTAACCCACTCGCTCAGTTAATTAGCTCAACCATTCTATCAATACGTTATACTTACTGAGGGATGGCTATGTGGCAGTTACTAATTTGTGGTGAATCAGAATAACCAGAGGTTAACCACCCATCACAGCCACAGAGCCAACACACAAAGAAGCG